TGCTCCAAATATGAGCAATAGGAATCACACTTTATATGCAAAGTCAACAATTTTTCAGTCTCATCTAACCTGTATACAATAAATAGCTGTCAGTCAAGTTGCATTGGAACCAACATTCGTAGTCCAAATTATATCAGTAAAAGTCTCATTAAATGCTGTTGGAAGTTGTTATACAATTATCAAGTGTGTAAGACAATAAGAAGTCATTACTAAGATGAAAATGAGAGCACAAACAGATGTACTTTTAAGGGATCTGATCAGAAGGTGTGATGAGCCAGAAGGTTTGTATTGTGGACCCCTTTCTAACTGTGATTTTCCATGTGTGCATAAAATTGCTTTCTTATTTCATAGGCTCTCAGTGGGATAATAGAGAGCCTATGAAGAACCAAATAAAACTTCACCATTCACCCTGTGATGGTTGCGTCATTTTGTCTCTTAGAGCTGTTATTCTCACTATCAGTGATTCAAATTCTGATACCCAATTTGCAGTCAGTCCAAAACCAACTCTGAGGGGGTGAATGCTGCTTATCTAGACTTCTCATTTGATCCCTTTCCTTGGTACTATGTGTCATGGCTTTCTATGTATTTTGAGAATGCCTAGAATGCTGTTAATAGCTTCAAACAGTGAAGGAGATCGTAATAGAATGCGTGATAGTAAGTTAGTGGGCTTTAAGCTCATTTGGACTTACTGATCCTAAGGGTCTTTTCCAGACTAAATGACTGAATGATTTTAGTATTCCAAGCAAAAATTTTTCATATGCCAAGAATATCTGATTTTACTAGTAAGGTGTCTATAAATGTGTGAGCCCTGTTTCGTAAAAAAACCCCTTTCCTTCTATGAGGGAAGGAAAATGTAACGGGGAAAAGGAATCCTGTAATGGAACGGGGGCGAGGCTGCTGTAGCTCCATGCCCTGCACCTCCAACCAGTAGCAAAGCTGAGCGCATATTCCCAGTAGGCACCTGCTCAAACACATGCATGCAACATGCATGTAGATACATGGCAGGCCACAAAGATCAACATAAACAGCACCATAAGTCTCATCCTCTTTGGCTGATGAGGATGAAGATCCATTAATGGGAAACCTGTATGATGTATATCCCTACAGTCAGTGGGCTGACAAGTTCACTACCCAGTTGATGGCCCCCAGATTCCAGACTTCCCTGTGGCTGACACCTGGGTCATAGGAGCCCTGAGGCTGCAGGCTCCCTCCAGTTACTAATACAGACCTCCTCACTCATGGAAAGACAGGTGTGTGTGTGTGTGTGTGTGCACATACAGAGGCAGAGCACTTTGGCAGCTGGTGAGGCTCCCCTGGTCCCTCTGAGAGGCAACTCCCTTTTTGACCTTGTCTTTAGAAATACAGACATGTACATACAGACAAAAATCTCCATCAGTTGGCCAGGATTCCCCTCACCCCTGCAGAAGTGAATTCCCCCAGTGGTCACCCCTTAGAGACTCTGGTGCACAGACACAGATGGGTTTTCCAGCTGCCCCCCTCCCTGAGCCTGCGGTCTTTCTGGTAGCTGTCCAGGACTTCCCTTATCGCTCGTCTAGCCAGGTCCTCCTTCTGTCTTTCCCATACAGATACACATTCCTCTGCTTCCAGGGCCACTTCATCTTCTCACTGGTTAGTCCAGTTTGACAGTTGTTAGCGATCACTCATTCACCACCCTAGCTCATTGGAGTTGCTGGCACCATGGACACAACTGAGGTCCTACTCAAGTTAATAGTACTTAAGTTCTCTCTAGTCTCTCCACTTGCCGTTCTGTGGTCCCTCTAACTCACGGTCTGGTCCTGTTGCTGACATGCAGGCCTCCATACACACATGTGCACACAAAGTAGTGTCTTGCGTAAGAAAATAGTTGGAAATATAATTTAATAAGGTAGGACTGACTGGGCTGGTTGGGTACTGGGCATGCAAGTGTACCAATCCGCAAACTGTTTACACACGACTGGTCCTATTTATCCACTTATCCCATAACTTTTCCATGCTCGTTCATCTTCAAATCACTGAGATCCATCCTTTTCCTACCTTTGATTCTCCCATTAAACATCGCAAAATAAGTCCTGCACAATACAAAAATGTTTTTCCCCTTCATCCTATAATGTGTCTTATAAGCAGTAACACCCCTCTGGCTGAAAGGTGCTGTGGAGGCCTGATGATGTTGACTCATGGGGTGATTGTCAGACTTGAGCCATATGGCAAAAGCTTTGCTGGGACACCCTCGGGAGGAGCCTGTGCAGCATGTCCCTTCCTCTGAATCAATAATTTGGGTTCCCCCCACCTGCCAGGGTGCCTCTGTTGTCTGGGCTTGTGTAGATAAGCCTTTTATAGGTTGATAGTTCCTGTGATGGGCTTGGGAGGAGACAGGTGAAAGTATTATTTGAGTTCTGCTATCCACTGTTGTCTTTCTGTGCTCCTTTGTACACAGAGGGACTTTTTAGCACATAGCCTTAAGAGACAGTCCTTTCCTTTAGTCTTGATCCTACTGCATGGATCTACTTTCCTCTTGTCCTTCATACAGGTAATAGGTATTGAAGAAAACTTTTAATATGCCCTACCTGTGTCAGTTGCCTTCATTCAAGTAATTTTTTTAGTGTATCTGTGTTTAAAAATATTCATTAGAAATCAAATCCCTGTAGGATTTGTATATTGCTCTGGTGATACCACCTTTGAAATAAATGACCACATTTTCTTGTACTACTCGTAATAAAAAAAGTGCAGCTTATTTTATTGTGCATGCAGTGCCAATTCTTTGTTTAAAATGTGAAAACTTCATCATTCACTCGCGTATCTTGTCTGCCAAGCAATTATTGAGACTTGTCCCTGTGCAGATGCTGTCAGGACTGTTACTGTGTACATAGAGTAACTTGCTTTGCACCTCATACACTGCTAGAACTTGTAGTGTTTGGTTGCTGTACTGTAAACTGTACTGGAAGCTGTAGTTTGGCAGACCTTCGAGATGGAGCAAGGCAGTGGAAGAAATGCTACCCTCAGACAGTTTTAAACTCTTAATGGGGCCGTAATAGTTTCTGCCAAGGCTTCCTGAGAATCTTCAGGCTGGTAAATGTAAAATGCTACTGAAAAGCAATCTCGTGGTAACTCGTGTTCATGAGTTGAGCATGGTTTACTTTTCACCGTGTTTTGTTTCTGACATGAGGAGTTTGTTTCAGTTGCCTTGCTGTTTTTGTCTTGAGAAGAATGCAGGTTGGCAGAATAAACTACACAACTTTATAGATGTTCTAGTCTCTGGTGGTAGGAGGCATAAAGACATAACAGCTAAAATATATGCTAACAGCCTAGTCCTTTAAATTCAAGTTTATGAGAAAAGACTCCTCATGCCTTTCATGCTGGGGGATCTAGTCTTAGGAGTGAGAACTTTGAATTATATCTTTAATAGTTTCTCTGCTGTCCTAGTTAATTTTTTTATCCTTTCTGTTCTTTTCCTCTTCTACCTTAAAAAAAAGCCCAGACCAACCAGACCAAACCTCCTGCCTTTTGACCAAAAAATACTTATGACTGTCTTAGTTTTGGGGTTTTTTTTTTTAAATTAATAGTGTATCTTCATTATTTCTAAAATTAGGCTTACATTTGGATAGTAAGCTCTTCCTACCTTCAGTGTTTTTTCATTCCCAGAGTTAACTTTTCTTTTTAGTTACTTTCACTTCTCCTTTCACTGTCACATAATTTTTAAACCTAGACCACTATTCAGCCTATATGGTGGTTACGTGGGCGGTTCTTTACAGTTTAGAGGAGAATAGTTTTTAATGAATATTTCTGCATTATTTTTTTACTCAAGATTTAATTATTTTACTGTTGTTTCTTTTTAGAATAAGTATCTGAAATATAGTTTTCTTTATCTTTGGTAACACTGTGCTGTGATGATAGGAATAGATTGTTGTTTGAATTAATGAGCTGGTTACACATTCCCTGTTATGTTTTTGTATAGTGTATTAAAAAAAAAAAAATCAATCTAGCTTTCTCCTTTGAGTGCCCAGAAGTATTTAATTGCACTCTGCACTTACTGCCTTCGAATTCTTAACTGAAGAATCTGCTCCAAGTTCCATCAGTGCATCAAAACAGATACTAGTTTGGAGACTTTTCAGGAGACTTTACTGTAGAAATAGTTTGTATCAAGACCATATGAAGCACTATTTGTTCTTTGGTTAATTTTGATGTTGGCCCTACAAAGATCTTAAGGGAAGAGTTTGTCCCTTTTAGAAAATGATTGTCCTAAAGCACTGTTCCTGTGTGGGTCTGTAGGTATTTATTGCTAAAGTAAATACAAAAAGAGGGCAGATGTCTTTAGAAAAGCTAGAAGGTCAAACTTGCTTTAAACTGTATGGTACTTTGTATCAAAGCTAACTTTAGATATTCCTCATTGGTTAGCCTGATTGAAAATGTTTTTGATGTAACATGGAAGATGATTGAGCTGTATTTTTTCTACGTCTTCCTTTATGCGCTTGGATCGCCAGCAGCATCAGTGTTAGATTTCATTACAACCAAGCAATGACATTTTTATTCTTTCTGTGTAGTGCTTTCTGCACCACGATATTATTTGCATGTATGGAATATTGAAAGGTAATAACATTTTTGAAGCACTATCAATGTGTAATTCAAAAGAGAAGTGTATGTAGAATTCCCACATTGTGCTGCTGTGTAGGTCTTGTTGTGAATTTCCTTTTTGTAATCTATGGAAAGCTTATTTTTAGACTGCATTGTTTTAAATGATGTAAAGTAATTTGTTTGACACATGTTTAAATGTGCTTATAATTCTAGGAACTCACTTTGTCTTACATGTTCTGCCTGATCAAATGTATTCCAAGAGCGTGCTTTCCTTCTCTAGGGCAAGTGGTAGAGGATTAAGGGAATATGAATGTCATGGCCTAATCTGTACTGTTGCAAAACCTCTACTGTACGCGTTCAAGAGGAGCTTAAAAACAAAGCCTAAATTAAAAATATGAACAAGTGAAAGTAAGTCAAATACCCCTTTTCAGGGATGAACTGGCTCTCATCCTTGAACTGGTGCTGGCTGTTCCTAGTGGAGCAAGAGCAGCTCTGGGACTGCATGGGGTGTTTGATACTGGCAACGGGGATGGTTCTGCCTGGCCGGAGCTGCTGCTGCTGTGTGGAGCAGGGGAAGGAAGAGGGGACACTTGGGCAGCACAGACTGTAAGGAAGGTGCTGAGATTTTTCAGGAGAGGTGGGAGAAGGATTGTGGGCGCACTTCTCTTGAACCTAATTTAGTCAGTTCTCTGCTCAGTGAACCGCGGGCTGAAATCTGTTATTTCAGCCAAAGTGTCTTCCTTCTACCCCTTTCAAGTCTGCGTATGAAGTCTCTTCAAATATAATGGTTTGTTTCGTAGGTTACACACTTGACAGCAAACAGTGGGGCATAGAGAACCTGCTGGCTAACTCATTCTTTGGGGCAACTGTGCTGACTTTCATCAGTGCTCTGTGAAAGCCATTGTTTGAGGAGAAAAATCTCATATAATATGATTTTTTTCTTAAGGTTCCCATCTAGTCATTGCAGTTTGTATTCTGGCTTCATCACCCCATGCTTGCCATAGAGTTCTGATTTTAAAGACAGGAAGGGAAATTGTTGTCTGGTCAAGATGCAAGATGGTTTTTGCCACTGACTCTATACTTCACTTCCAATGATGTTACCCTCCCTTTCTTTTGCGTTTGTTCTAGTCTCTTTCTTCCTGGGTCTTGCCTACGTTATTATTTCTGTAGAGTGTGCTTTTCTGATTTCCTGTTGGTTTGATGTGATACTTAAGGGCCCCATCATCCATGCTGAACTCTTTTATGTCTACGCGATACTAATTTTCTGCTTTTGCATGTTCTACAACCATCTGTATGCGAGTGGCTTACAGTCTATTTCTATGTTCCAAAAACTATTCCTTTTCAATTTTGAACAGGAAGAATTAAAGTCTCTTTGTTTTTCCTCTAAACCTCTCTTTATGGATGTCTTAATAGTCAATTCTTGCTCTGACTGGAGTGGAACACTTGTATCCAATTTTTGCTACTAATTTTCTTTGCTCTCTCTGTTCTTAATTCCACAGATGCTATAATAACTTTACTTGTCATTTAGGTTAGTAACTTTGATGTGCTTGTTAAGTGGTATCTCAAGATACTTATCTTCAAGATATATTGAAGCCTCAGAATATTTTTGCATAGTATTTTGAAGATGTTGATATGGTTGAAATCTTGTCCAAAAATCTCTTATGCATCAAATGCTACCATAACTTTGTTCTGTGTTAACAAGTGTAATATTGCTGTTCACATCTGTTCAAAAGGCTGTTACAAAGATGATGAAGATTTACATTACAATGTCAGGAGTACAGCTGTTTCAGAGTAAGAAAAAACATTTTTAAACTATGTTTTTGGTAAATAAGCCTGCTTTTTTCGTATTTTACATGTAATGGTTGGGAAGAACTCTTCAGAAATTGGTTTTGTAGATATCTTTTCTTCCAACTTTCTGTGAGATTCTCATGTTCTGCATGATTTCTCCATAATGTAATGAGTTTCTGTACTAGTGCTAAGGCAACTGACCGTTATATGTATCTTTATGAAAATCCTTTAAAATAAGACAGTTAAATAACAGGCAAGTTACCACAGAGAAACTAGGATGTTTAGCTTCCAAGAACACCTGCCTTAAATGGGGTTACATAGAATGGAAACTGTATGTGATATGTTATACCTTTTCTGTTTTCAGTTAGATAGATTTGCCAGTATAAGAATTCCAGGAAGTAAAAAGGAAAGACCTCCTCTGCCCCATGTGAAGCAGTCACACTCTACAGATTGGTCATCCACAGCTATGGATGTGGAGGATTTTGCTCCAAAACCCCTGTCGGAAAGAGAAATCATAGCGCTGTTTGAAAAAATGATGGTAAGAGTCTTACGCTGATTTATTTTACTCAGAGAATGACAACATGGCTAACTGACAGCTGGAAGCCTTCTTTTGTGCATGTGTTCTGATCTTTGCCTGAATTAATAATATTGTTGTTGTTGTGTGGTGTAATTATGTGGTTTTTATGGTGCTTCTCAAGGGATGAAGCATTTGAATTACTTTGACAACATTTTGCTCCAGATAGATTTAAAGTGGAAACTAAAGGTTTCTGATTATTAGAAGTGAGATTACTCAAGAGATTTTGAGGAGGAACAAGAAATGGGGAATCTTGCTTGCTTTCAAGATGACATGAAACTTTTACAAAGGGATTTTACGCCTTTGAATGCCACAGCAGAGTTTTGTTCTGAACTTATATTCCACATCACTCTTGCACAAAAAAGACTTAAGTTTCTTGCCTCCAAAGGAGCATTTGACTGCATGTGCAGTTTCAGATTTGCTTCCTTCCTTAGCTGTCATCATCGCTGTGCTACAAAAGAGCACTCATTTCCTGGAAAGATCATGTGGCATTGGTACCACCTCAGTATGTTGAAGTTTTTTGTCATGATGATGATGAGATTCTGGGCAATTGAAAACTAAACATGGAATGGTCGTGAAAGAAGAGTGGCTGCATTCTGAAGAGCACAAGAGGATATTAGCAAGGAGAGTGATGCCTAGATTGTTATTTCTTTCTCTGCCTTACAGCAAGTACCTCTTGAAACACAAAGTGAATACCAGGGGCTGGGATCTGGAGGAAATTAAATGTGCTATGAGAGAAGTATCTTTATGGAATTTGTAATTGCCAGTAATCAGTAATGTTAGTTTAGTTTTGAAGATGCTCTTCTAGAGCTGTTGAGAGTTATGACTGAGAGACAGGATTCAGGATTTTCATGGTTAAGCTGATGAAGGGGAGGACTAATTTACTGTGTTATCAGCTTTTGTATGTGTACTTGTTTTTCTCACATGGTCCATTTTTCTTGGTATACCTTGATGTCTAGGATGTTCTTAACAGGCGTGAATGATAGTTGGTCAAATGGTAAGAAATGGGAGAGTTTTATTAAAAAACTTGAAGGTATGCCTCCCTGCACACGCACCCTGTTACATAAGCGTAGGTTCTATTTCTCCACCATCTCTCAGAGATTCTGATATAGGATAGTGTGTGATGTTGAGTTACACTGTAAAAATTGGACACTCAGTAAGTCTTCAGAAACCTACTTCTGTGTGTCTAGGTAAACAAAAGTACTTATATCCATGGATCCTGTAGCAATTCATTCCAATTTTATAGCTACTCTGCAAAAATATTTTACAGTAATGATGACATCCTGGATGACTTGATTGCTTTCCTAGTTTCATTGAATAGCGAAGCATTTCAAGTAGTTTATCAAAGACAGTTTATCAGTGGTGTTTTAGCTATAACATGTAATACAGAAAGGATTTGTCAGATTATCCACACTTGAATGGACTGGAATAAAGCTAGTTTAGTCACAGTAGATTACATAGCTAATCGTATATTGTAGCCTCTAATTTGCTGTTCTGATCAAATTAAGTGACTTGGGTGGGGTGGTGAATTTGAATGTTGTAGCCAGGCTTTTAGAGCTAATTATGCACAAAATAAAAATAACCAATTGGTTAGTACTGAAGGGAGCATGTTCTAAGTTCTGAAGTTTCACTGCATGCATTACATTACACTTCAGGTTCTCCTGGTTGCATACAGCTTCCTTCTCTGAATCTTTTATGCAGTGGTGTACTGTGTGGTTTTGATAGCAAAAATTATGAAAGAGCTCATGAAACCAGAGTGTTAAAGCTAATAATTAACTGTCATTTAGGTCCTTTCATTTCTGTTAGTGCTATTAGGAAAATATCCATGTGAAATGCCTTATTTTCCAAAGTGTTATTGCTCGCCTGTAGAGTAACTTTAAATGATTTAAGAGGAAATAAAAGAATGGAGTTCAAGTATTTTATAAACTAAGCCACATGTGACATGCCCCTTGTGCTGCTGAATACTTCTAATCTGTATAAATTGATTGCTTTAATTATGTTTCATTTGGTAAAAACAGCAACAAAGAATTTACTTTTTACACACAGACAGTGTATTTCCTATAAATAAACTCGCCATTACATCTAGGATTATGGAATGTAGTTTATACTGATAGGTTTCTTCCCTCCCTTTTTTTTTTTTTTTTTTTAATGTGATTAGAAGTTAGATATCTTTTGCAGGAAAAACAAGCCCTTTGGTTTTGTTATTTAAGTTCAGAAGCTGGTTTTCAAAACACTTAGAAGAGCAAGTCTAAAACAAGTGCAAGGCTGTTGGAAATAGGAGAATGAACTTTGCAGTAGCTACAGGCTAATGTGGAAAGCCTTTTTTTTTTTTTTATTTTTCCCCTAAGGTAGGATATACATATATTCCAATGTTATTATGAAAAAAATCCTGTGGCATATTGCAGGCAAGGTACTGAAGATGTGATAACGCTCAGAAAACATGGAAAAAGACCTAGCCAAGGTCCTAGCTAAGGAGATGTCTTTGAGGCACAAAGGTTTTTGAGCAGTTGTGGAGAATTTAAAGTTATAGTACTTCTCTGGCTTTGAAAAAAATTGTTATTGAAGAAATGTTTAAAGATATAATTAGAAAATAACTGTTTTTATCTGTTCTTATTTTAGATGCCTTTTATCAATCCCCAAATCTTTATGTCCAAAACCATATATCAGTACCAGAATTCACTGATGAATTGTACAAGTCCTGACTAGATATGTAAATAACTGGTAAATGCTTGACCAGTACGTTGAAATATTTAGATTGATATGTTGTGGAGCTGGTTTAAATTTTTGGAAGAAAATAATCTCTTTGGATTCTATATATGATCCCAACAGTGTTTTTAATGTATGTATATTTAAGCTTGGTGGTTTTTTTTTTTTTTTTTTTTTAAATTTTAGAGTGGATATTTGAGTCCGTGCAGCATTTGACACCAGGTTTCCCATCATTAAGTATATCAGAGTAGTTTCTTGTTTTGCTTTAATCCAAGAAAAGCTAGAAGAAGCAGCATACCCTTTCAAGATAATGTCCTTGACATTGATTTAGTATGAGGCAGCTCGCAAACTATTCAGGAATGTGTGTCCTTATGCACTGCTAGAATTTTGGTTTGGGCATAAGCAAATAGTTTCTCTATGAATTTTTTGATCAAAGGAGTGCAGTATTTTGAAGAACAGAACTATATGAAAAGATTGAAGTATGTGTGGCCTCCTTTCTTCTAGCTTGTTTAGATGAAGTTGTTTTGTATTTACTTTCAGATGTAGGAAGTAAAACCAATATGCAAGCTATCTGCCAAGGAGGCAAAAGACTATAATCTTATTGTTTGAATGAAAGAACTTTTTACTACGTGCTCCCTGTACTTATTTGATACTAAAAATGTCAAATAATAATGCAGTGTATGTATGTTGTCAAATATACAGATTTGATACTATAAATACACTATAATATCAAATAATAAAAATACTGATTTAACAGTAATTTAATAACTAGTAACTAATAGTTTAAATGCATGCTACACTGAAGTGAGGAACTCTTTCTAGTCCTTAAGGAAAGAAAACGGTAATATATATGAGAGAAAAAATCCAGAATCTATGTAAAATTACCCTAATTGTACTTTGAAGAAGTTCAACTTAAGGGGTCAAGCATTTTTTACAATGTCTTCTCACCGCTCAGATTTATACAAAAATCTAAATGTTTCTAGGAACGGTGCTTGATTCTATCCTGTTCAATATGAAAAGTAGTGAAAAACAACGAAACTTAAGTTTCAGTGTAGTATAAAAATTTGATCTTTAGAGTTTGTTTTTTTTCCTAAAATTCTGAAGTTATGAGTTTGCTTCCTGTCTGTCTTTGATTTCTGACTCGGTGAAATAGCTTTGATATCAAGATGGTTACCCACTGATTTTGTACCATTGCTCCTGCCAAAGCTGGTGGGGATTCACCTTGTGAGTCTCAGCTGAAAATAACTGCAGTAATCTTGCTAAGCTTGGCTGACCATCGTAATGCTGTATGTGTTTGTATGTATGTGTGCCTAAATTGTTTCTGAAAGCATAATTTTTTTCCCTCCAGCATGATCGGAAATGTAATTTCTCACAGATGTGGAACTGATTACAATGATCAGAGCATTTCTAGGCTGGAACAGTAGAAGTCCGAGCATCAGTGAATAGCTGTTGTGTGGCTTTGAATATGGTTCTGCATCTGTTCTTTTTGACTTCTGGCTTTATGTTGGAATGGATGAGTTGTGGCAAAGGTTTTGATAACATTTGAAGGTGTACATTTAGTGATCAAGTTGTCAAGACTTTGGGTCTTACCTATTGCAAAGTCGAATATTATTTTGTAAAGTATTCTCAGGGCAAGGCAGATTCTGCTGCCCAGGATCAAGTATTTGGAAATGGAGAAACAGAATTTTAGAACAAATGGATATATCATTAAAAAGATCTTTCTAAGAAATTGGTTTGAGTACATTTATAAATGTTTTAGGAAGTGTTAAATAATGCTTTTCTGTAGTACAGTGCACGTGTGTGTGAAACTGTAGGTGTTTTCTAAGAGGAGATTATACTAGTAATGGTTGTGATGCACTTACTTATCCTGGCATAGTTGACTCTTTTTTTCAGTCTGAGTTCTTGGGAAGATGGATGAAGATTTTTATGGTTCTGAGTAACATCCAACTTATGAAAAGCTGTTTGTGTAACAATTTTCAGTTGGTCAAATTCATATTTTTGTGACTTTATTTTTTTAAATCAGTCTTTTATTGTTAAACAACTGTGTTGCTGGATGACATTTAAAACTTTTTTTTCCCTCCCATTCTAGGAAGATATGAATTTAAATGAGGACAAGAAGATGCCATTGCGAGAGAAGGATTTTAATACCAAAAAAGAAATGGTGATGCAATATATTAGTACTGCTTCGAAGTCTGTAAGTAAATTTCTCTTAAGTATACCAGAAATAGCTTAATGTTTACATTATTTCCTATTGGAGAGAAAAAGTAATGCATGCATGTTACATTCTTTTGACTATCTTTTATTTCTCAGACACAAGCATTTTTAAAGAGCACTATATCATTATTTTACAAGCTGCAATGAAAGATATTTGCTTGAGGTGTGTCTTCTGTACACAGAACAGTATTTCTTTTTGTTGAAGGTGTGGCTATTAGTGGAGATGGAAAGATTCCGCAGAAAACTTCTTGGAAAAGTATAGTGTGAACCTTTTTTTCTTTTCTAGCACTGTTTAAAATAATTCCTTAACTGATTATCACAACTGATATCATGTTGTGATACTATGTAATAGTTGATAACAAAAGCATTGCACATGAATCCAATTAGTGCCTTTTTTTGTACTTAAAGTGATAGTTACTTGTTGTTTTAGAGAAGTACGAAGCGTTGTGTATTAGGCAGTTTAAAGGATTAAGTTGGCATGCGAAAAACCACTTAGTTTTTGCAAAGTGGGGACTGACTCCAGTGTTAAATGCTGCAGTGCTAATATTGTCCTCAGACCTTTTGATTATGTTAGAGTTCATATATTTAATTCTTTGACTCTCACTGCTTCTTGCATGTAAAGATATCAGTAAAAATTGCCCATATGTAATTATAACTAACTACTGTGAAGAGAAGACATTAAATATAATAATTTAAATGAGGTATTTATCTTATTGTCTACTTGAAATTATGTACTTTATTAGTATAATGCTCTAGAACTTTTAGGAGAGTAGATGCTTAGTACAGGACTGAACTGCCTGGAGATTGTTTTATTTAAGATGAACTTATCAAAGCTGCTAGTCCTTCTATATTCTAGGCATTCCTTAGTACCAGAAGATTAGGAGTTTTAGCCTGTTTTTCTATTTTGGAGATATTTCATGGGAAATCAGGAAAGTTCAGGCTAGTAAATGTCACAATGTTCTTGAAGTTTCTCAGCCCAAAACAGCATGTCAAGCTTTATGTGTCAGTGACACCCTTAAGCCTCCACATGCATTCCAAGACCTCAGCTATTTAATCTAAAAAGTGATGTGATAATAGGACATGGATGGCTGTGCAGAGTTGCTGCATCTGCATCTATTGCTGGAATCTTAGCATCATGATGATGGTGATGTTAAGACTCTTTCTCAAGTGAGAGGTTTTCATGTTAGCTCTTCACTTCCTGGCACTTAATACTTGCAAAGAACTGAAGCCTATAGCAGAGTAGGTTTCATTGATCCTTCTTTCTGAGTGCCATTTGGATTTTTTTTTTTTTTTGTCTTTGTTTGTCATCAGGTTGACAACCTTTGGTTGACTTGTTCTTTGGCAATGGAGCTTCTTGCACTATGTTCCAAGCATCCATACGAGGTATTCTGTTAAAGAGGACAGGTTTGCTTCCTCCCCCAGAACAGTGATTTGTTCCCACCCACTGTTCTCTTGCATGTTTTCATAAAGCCCCCAACAGCTTTTTTTTCCTTTCGGTTCTCCACCTCTACTGACAGCGCACATATCCCCTTTCTTGATGTAGGAGATCACTGAAGACTAATTAATGCAGGGAAATTCTTGTCTTTACTGAACTCTGTTCCTACTGTTGTGTCCTTACTGGAAATGGCATTCAGTCATATAACTGGGAGGAGCTGTTTCTGTGATGCATAGATTCAGCTCTTTGCTAGAGTAATGCTGCAGACTAATTCAGTGTAGTGCTGGAGCTTCTGGGATAGGAAACTCCTTCTCTTGCCCTTGCAAACTCTTTGTTCCTGGCGTGCTCTTTCATGCTGCAAGCACATTGGACTGAGTGCCTTCTCAGTTTAGAGAGAATAGTGCACTGCATGCCCAGGGCACTTGGCTAAATTTTGGTGTACTTAGATTTGATGAATATCATACTTTTGGAAGAGCTGAAGTGCTGTATAGCTCCTGAATATTACGTACACCTAACCCCTTCTCAGGTCTCTCTTTCTATGAGTGATACTGCAGTAACATATTTTGATAGTTCATACTTCTCAAACTTCAAGGAGGCGGGTACTAAGCTATTTTGTGTTGGGTGAAATATCCTTGTTTGCAACTGCTATGCAGAGTACTGAGCAGATTTCATTTAAAGCAGTTATAATTATAAAACCTATTAAAATGAAGAACAGAGGCTATGCCTCTAATGAATCACTGAATATTAAGCATCCTTTGGTGGTCAAAATGGACTCCACCATAGTCAAAGCTTCATCATTGACCTAAGCATCAGGGTTACTGTTTCTTAGAAATGCAGAGCTCCTTTTTAGTGTTTACAAAGCACATCTCTGTTACTGATGCATCTAGAAATTATGCTGGGTTTCTTGGGACTACGCTCAGGTGCTTATTCATGTATAGCATACTGTGACCTACCTCTGTGTATTCATGAGATATTTAGAATGAATCCATCACTTAAGAACTCAAAGTTACGTAAAAGTAACCAGAGTTCTACTGACCTGCGTTGTCCAGTACTCATTCATTTCACTCTGCTTTGCTTAGAGGCTTCTTAAACAGTTAGCTGAAAGTGTACTTTCTATGTTTTTGTAGCTGTTCATATGTATTATGATTATTTGAGGCTGGAAACAGCATCACATTTTTAGGTGCTATATAAATACATACCAAGATGTTCCAGCCCAGAAAAGTTTTAAAAATCAGTTTCCATGTTATGGAGTAATACTCAAGTGGAAATAAAAGCACCATTGCGATAATGTTACTCTACTACAAGTTTTGTTGTTCTGTATGTTGAACACATACAAACGGGTTTTTAAAGTGAGTTTTCTTCACAAGATTTCATTTATGTTTTACAGCTTCCTTCCTTGTAATGTTTTAACTAAATTAATTTATGCTGACTTCATACCGCATCTGCTCACAGACCAGTTGTTCTTCAGCTGAGCAATTAAATTTCTAGAGGCACTGATGCCTCAAGATCTTTCCTGTTTCTCAGTTAACTTGAGCGTTTTGAACTTAAGCAGCTTTTTTACGTGCAGAAATACAGCTAATATAATCAGTTTCACGATTGGTACCAAATGCAGCTCTCATTTTATTTAAGCACTGGCAGATGTATCATATTCTTGTTATGTTACAGAGCCTTGGTGTAACTATGAATAAGTGGTACTTGGTACTGTGTGTATGTTGTACAGACATTCACACGGTTTATTGGCATCTTTAGCATAGGGTAATGTTCAGGTGTGGAACTGAGTCTGAAACAGGATGGCTGGTTACTGTTTGGATATTGACGTGAGTCTCCATTGCTTGTGACAGTGTCTTCAGACAGGTCAGATGAGACTCTCTGAAATGTCATTCTAGTGAATTCTTATAGTCTGACTGGGGTCTTGTCCCGTGTGACTTTTCCGCTGTACACATGGCTATTGATTATGTTAAACTGCTTCAAAAAATATTTTCTATCTCTCTTAACTATATGTCCGCTCCACATGACTGTCCTATATGGCCGTTTCTGCATCAAACAAAGCATTTTTACTGATTATTTGTGAGTATCTTAGTTATATCCCGCTTGGTCAATTTTACAGCGGGAACTGCTGGGGGAAGTCACTGGAAATGACAGATTCTCCACCCAGGATATTAATCCATATGCTTAGGCATACAAGCAGTGCTTATCAACTAGTCTATGCACAGCAGGAGCTGCCAGGAGAATTTCTGGGACTTTTTGAAATTCCCAGCTGTAGAGCTTCTGTAAGACTTAGTGAAGTACTTTGCCATGAAGGCTGCTAGCAGTTTGGTCATCTTGTCTCTAGTCAGTCTGTTATTTCATCTACGCAGAGACTAGCTGGAAAGATAAAGGATCGTGTGAACTGTATTGGCTGCATATGCATACAGGCACAGCCCCCCTGATCCTGTGTTACACCTCCGTTGTGACTTGAATTTCTGCTTTATATTACAGGCGTAACTCAAATTGCCCTGATTCTGCCTCAGGGGTCTATATTGCCTAGTCTTAAAATGTCTGGGGATTTATTGTAACAGGATAGATGTGCTTAGTATATAAGCTCTTGAGTAACCAGACAGAAAACATTATCACAAGTTTCCCTTAGCCAGTGAATTTGTAGTGCTTTGGGCAGCTCATGGTGTAGTAGCTTTTACCTTTCATGTTCTGTCAAGTCTGATATTTAGCTCTTAATGTTATGAATGCTTTTTTGTTTTGTTTAGGAATTTCTGCATTTGGCTTGGAGATTATCTCCAGTTGTTTTTTCATTCCTCTTTAGTTATAGCTGTGTCAAACCTATAGGGGAGCTGAGCTTTCTTGCAATTATACCATCTTGGTGAGGAGGGTAAATTGTTTATGGAATAAGTTTGCCAACTGGATATTTTTTGAGGGGGTGGTGTTCTGCTCCTGGCATTATCAGTCTGTACTGTTAACTCTTGGGCCCAGGGAATATCTGAAGAAATTAAAGTAAGTTCCCTTGCTGTAAGGCCTTTCTGACTTAAGTATTATGTGGCAATGAAGTAAACACAGAACATGAAAGAAAACTGAAAACAGTTTCTTTTTGTGCTGACACTTATGTTGCTGTTTTTTTTTTTTTTTTTTTTTTTTTCTGTGTTTCCTAGATCTGTAATTCTAAGGCATGCTTCAATCCTCGTCCCTTCCTGGCCATCTCATCCACTTTTTTTGTGAAACATAGTTATTGGATCTGATTCTCATATTTAAGCAAATAGGGATCTCCATCAATTCAGAGGCATGTTTGGAATGACATTCCATGTACTTTGTGTGGTCTACGGAGAATATAGCATGAGATGCTGTTTTTTCAGGATGGTTCCTGGCAGTAGTCTGTTTTTTGACATCTGGATCATCCATTTCTCAAGTCTGAGGAAATATAGTTGGAACAGAGAGGTAGTATACTCCCCATAGCCCCATGATGTTCCCTTATGGCAGAGTCATAGAACAGAATGGTTGAGGTTGGAAGAGACTTCTGGAGATCATCTTGTCCATCCTCTCGTCTAGTCTGTTTTTTAATATCTGTGATAGAGGAGATAGTACAATCTGCCTGGGCAACCTGTTCCAGTGCTTGACAAGCCTCAAGGTTAAAAATCAAGACCAAGGGCAGAAGTTTGTGTATTTCAATTTGTGCCTCTTATCCTTTCATTGGTAGGATTCCCCTGAGCCTTCTCTTCTTGGGGCTTAACAATCCCAGCTCTATCAGCCTCTCATTGTACATCAGATGCTCCTTTAATGGTGCCCACAGCCCTTTCTGGACTCATTCCAATATGTCCATGTCTCTCTCATGCTAGGAAGCCCAGAACTGGATTTAGTACTTCAGATGTGTCTCACCACTGCTGAGCTGAGGGGAAGGATCACCTCCCTTGATCAACTGGGGATGCACTTCCCTATGGTTGACTTGTCATCCAGCAGGACACACATTTTTATTTTTTTTTTTTCCTACAAACCTGCTTCCGAGCTGGTTGGTCCAAACATGTGTTGGTGTATGGGATTATTCCTCCTCAGGTTCTTGATTTAGCATTTGCTGTTGTGGAACTTCCTGAAGTTCCTCTGACCATTTTTCTTGGCTGTTGAGGTCCTCTGACCTCACAGCAGTTTGGTCTGTCAACCTCTCTTCCCAGTTTTTAACTTAATCTCTCTTCTAGAAGCTATTTCGTCATCTTCTACTTCAGGGGGAGAAAAGTTTATTTTTCAACACTTCTTGAGGATCTACCGAAGTGAGAAAACATCTTCTGTGTGAAGCTCTGTAAAATAACGTAAGGAGACTGCCTTACCATTTACAGTGGGTGATCTCAAGTTATTTCTGCACTGCAAGTGAAACTGTATTTCACTGGGTGTGTGTGATATGTTTCTACGTTTGATGCGTGCTTCTTCTGACTGCTGATTATAAATTTCTTTATAAATTGACAAAAATTTAGTCAGCATTTAGCACATGTAGTAGATGGACAACACTGTTTTAGCACTAAGCTATATAGCATCATAGAATGGGTTGGGTTGAAAGGGACCTTTAAATATCATCTAGTCCACCCTCCCCTGCAATGAGCAGGGACATCTTCAACTAGATCAGGTTGCTCAGAGCTGTGTCCAGCCTGACCTTGAATGTTTCCAGGGATGGGGCATCTACCACCTCTCTGGACAACCCGTTCCAGTGTTTCACCACCCTCATTGTAAAAAATTTATTCCTTATGTCTAGTCTGAATCTCCCCACTTTAGTTGAAAACCATTATCTCTTGTCCTATTACAACAGGCCCTGCTATCTCTTTTTTATCTGTTTTTTTCAAAGAACAAAAATGAAGGGTAACCATTAATAATCTATTCCAGTTCTATATGTGCCAAATAAAAAGTGAATGTATTTTCTGTGTTTCAGGGAAGTCTCAAGAACAGTCGGAAGATTTCACCCCAAGAGTTCATTCAGGAATTAAAATCTGGGTCAACAGATGAAAGACTAGTGACTTGCTTAGAATCTCTCCGTGTGTCCTTGACTAGTAATCCTGTCAGGTAACATCATTAAGGCATATTTTGAAGATTAATCATATTCATATTTTTAATGAATTAAAATTAATGAATCTGTAGATGTGCATGTTCCAAGGTTTTCCAGTTAAAGAATGTGTATGGGCTAGTGAATGATTGTACCTTTTATCTTTTTTGTATTGATTATATATCTTCTGTAGGTCTATTTTTCAGTAGATTTTACTGATTACAGGATAGTGCTAAGAGAATGTAAAACAAGTTTAGTGCAGAGCAGTTCACTTTTTCTACTGCAGACCAGTTCATTGTTTTCTGATGCTAAGTAGTCAAAAGCTTTTTTCATTTTAGTTTTTGAAGTATTCTCTTTTATCTTTCAACTTTGTCAGAGTGATCAATAATGGGACATAGGCACCTTCGTGTAAGTTTGCTAGCCAGAGAACATAAATGTTTTCAGCTGTGTGCTCCTCCTTCTGTCCCGTGTGCTTTGGACTTTTTTCCTTGCTGCCTTGTAGCAATTTCTGCTGTATCTATGGAGTTTATATATGCGGAAGAGAGCGCAATGGTAGTTTACCTGTGCTTTTTTTTTAAAAGGCTAACTCTTCAGTAATCATAACTCTGACTGATATCAGTCTTCAATTTTGTTTTGATCCATGCAGCTTGATTTGTGGATGCTGGTTTTATTTTATTCAATTTTTTTTTTATATTCTACTCTATTTACAACCTTTTGTTTTAGTTTTCCTGTTTAAGCCACATGAACACATGATTTTGGGAAACTTTTTTGGGTTTAGTTCAAAATAATGCAAATGAAATGTTGGAGATGCTTATGATGAGATGTGATTAAAAAGCATTAGACAACTTAGTTCTTTCTGCATCTGTCTTGGCAGAGTTGTTGATGTAGGTCTTCTGTATGGGCGTTTGCTTCTTTCCTTCTTTTAATTTGTTTCTGAATTGGATTGTCTTAGAATATATAGTGGTTCACATGGGGAAAAACATGCTCTATATTAACCTGACTTTTTCTGACAGAGGGTTTTACAGAAGATATATTTCATCCAAGAATGGGAAGCTACTTTTTGATATAGTATTGCTTCCCCTTCTTTATTTAAAAGTCAGAACAAAACCAAACAACCCCCAACCCGAGCATTTTTTTTTTATTTATACTTATGTTGCTTTAACAAAGAAAACTTTGCTTGTTAATGTGCATCTGGAAATAGAAACACAAGATGTATGAAATGTGGGACAACTTAAGTTTAGAGCAATCTCTTCTGTTCTTGATATGACTGCATAGTTTAATCTTTTTGTATGTGGTTCACTTTGCTGCTGCTTCTCCACGAGAGAAAAGTTAATCCTTCTCCCCAAAAAAAACAAACCAAAACAAAACCCATGATCTTGCTGAGGTGCTAGTTCTGCCTGACAGCACAGTACAATATGATAGGACATGAAGGCGTGAGAAAGATGTAGAAATGGTATCAGAAAAAGGAATATGGAGGCCAGATATGAATGAATGGTGTTGGTCTGTGCTTGAGACGTTTGATAAGATAATGCAAGTTGAATTGGACTATGATGTTGTAATAGAGCATCTGATCAATACCAGAAGTCTGGTGATCAGTACTATCTAGACGAATAAAGTACAGAAACTTAGAAGCTTTACAGCAATTAAGTATTATGAAATTTTGGATTAGGTAGATTTTCCACAGATATTTCACTTTGAGTAAGGAAAGGATTGGAAATTTGTAGATATATGTTGTGAGTACAGGGAAAAGAGCACGTACTTTTGTACATAGAAAAATGGGAAAACTAATTTTTTCATTTTCATAAGCTTAGTGTATTTTATGTCAGTCCTTCAGAGCATGCTAAAAGGATATGCTGTACTGTTGATATCAAAGTGTTGCATTGATACTTTTGAGAGATTAGTTTAATTTACAGGTACAAATACTTCTAGATTGCAACACTGGCTTTGACTTTTTTCAGTCAAATATAAACTATGGTAAGTAGAAAATTTGACAGCTGACTCTAGGTCCTAACTTGACCATAATTTATTAAAATTTAACTTGAATTTGAAACATTAAGCAGAATGCAAGAGACAACATAAAAAGAACTATAATGTGTAGATTGGAGTGAAACTCATTATTAAGTTGATGGGTGTATGGCTTAAGAGTAGAGCTGAATCTGAGAGGTTTGAACTGGAAGGAGAGTGACTGAGGCTTGCAAAAACATCCGAGATGTATTTAAGTAGGCACCAGTTTCATTAAAAAATAAATCTCTAGTACATGTCCATGCATGCGTTTTAGTTTACAAATCAACCAAGTGTTACAACCAATAGAACATATGGGTTCTGAAACTGTCTTCAGGTGTATTGAGTGGTCCTGAAAAAGGCTGGTAAGGTAGACCTCAGTAGGCTTAAGCAGAGCATTTTAAAATAGCCTTAGTAAAATACCGAAGTTCTTGTGTAGAGCTTATACAAAAAAATAGCAAAAATGTAACAGTAGCATGCTATTTTTCAAAGTAAAAATTTGTGCAGTAAACATTTTTAAAACATGTCCCATTCTTTCTTATGAGTAACAAAAATTGATTTTCATTGGATGCATATTGGTGACCTTGATTTTCCTATCAGTAGCCGGATCTCTGAGTAAGAACTTGCTTTGATACATAAATACTGAACTCCAGTCCAGCTGCCATAAATCCATTATTATTTTTAACTCCAGCTTTCTATGATGTGGACAATAAGAAATAAGTGATGAAACTTTCTGTTTTTATTTTGTGCATGTATAATACTTAAGAATAAGCTTCAGCTTTTTTAACATGATGACAATTAAATTTAGATTGGATCTAGTCTGACAATCTTCAGGTTTGTGGGCTGTCATCTTTTTGACAGTGTATAATTTAGGTTTTTTTGCTGTTTTTCCAATTACTATACTTTTATCAACTTAGCTTTTCAATCTTGTTGACATTTCAGTTTCTAATGCAAGAACTGGTTCTGTTACACTTTTCAATTAGTTGTTTTTTGTAAAGAGTATTTTTAATTCACAGAGAAAATCTGAATTAAGTGATATTGAGGCACTTAGAAAAATGTACTGAAATCTCTGGCTTACTGCAAAAAGTAGTATTTATTTTCTATCATTATAAGAAGAAAGCCTCAAAAGGAAAATGTATCCAGTGACCTTGGTCACTATTCCTGAGGTAAATAAATGAGGTGTTTTTACCTTACGGTTACCAACACAATTCATCAGAAGTGGTTCAGCTAGCTGTACACAGTCTTACAGATAACGAGTTATCTACAACTGTTTCTTCTCCTTTTGTGTAATAGTTGTAACACATTTAGCTCTTTTTGTTAAGAGGACATTTTTAATAAATTGAAAATAGGGGCACTGACAGCTTGGTGTTTTGTCAGATTGACAAAAAGCTGGGTGTTTACCCTGGAGAGTGTAAGTAACTTTTGTTCTTTTGTGGAAGCAGAGGAAAGGGCAGTAATAATGCAACAGTATTTTAGGCACTCGGTCACTCTCAGCATCCTCGCCTGCTGGATGTATGACAAAGTGTCTGTACACAATTCTGTCTAATGCAGAATGTGCTAAGAAATGTCTAGTTGGATCATCTTTGGGTCAGATATTGCCAATTATATAAAAAATAATTGACACTTATTTGCCTAATCTGTTTCAGAACAAAACACCTATCCAGGAAAGAGAAAATCTATTTTCATATATATTTACTTTTAGGGGAAAAACCTATAAAAGCATCGCATCTTGTTTGTTCTTCCTATGATTTTAAGTGCATTGCAGTTCTGTATCTAGCAGATAAGGAGAACTGTTTAATCCCATCCTATGGTGGGCTTCAAAGTACTATGTATTTCAAAAGAACTATTGCATCTCTCTTGTGCCATTTCCAACAGAATAGCTTATTATTTGCCACTAGTAAGGTCCTAACATTGTAGGAGTATCTAAATTTTCTGGTTACTCTTCAAAGGTGGTGACAAATAGATTTTACCCACTGTGTACGATGGTGTGTAAATAGACAAATAAAATAATGGAGAGGCTATAATACAAGTAAAGTGAACACTAATTTTTTTTCAAATTCTCATCAATGTCTTTATGTTGAACTTCTGATGTTGCAGAGTGGATGCTTCCTTTTTACATAAAAGACTTTATTTTCTGAATACATGTCGTGCCCCATTACAGTGGACGGTGGAGAGAGGTTTTCTGTGGTTTCCTGAAAAGGAGCACCGGCTAGGTGGAGTCAGACAGTGACTGGGGGAACAGCACAACACAAGCTTATTTACCTCAGCAACTGCAAAAACATTACAAATCAACTTCTCAGAGTCAAGCACCAAATCACACTTCCAATTATCCCCAGATAGCCTTTCAGCAAGCACCAAATAATGCTCAATCATTGTCTGGAGGCAAAAATCAGACAGAAGACAGAGTAGGAAAGAGTTGAAAGATAAGAAAGAGGGGCAGAAAGACAGAGAGATAGAGGCAAACACACAAAGAGAATAGCACCAATCCCTTGCTCCAGCGTGTGTCAATCTTCAGAAGTCTTTGTTTCAGGCAGAAATCTTTACTCAAACTTCTTTTGGGGGGGACGTGGTGGGTCGACAGGGAGTAGATGGTCAGGCTCACCTTTTATTCACTCCTGGTCCATCCAGGACCACCCCTCAGGGCAGGGGCAACATCCCTGTATCCAGATCACCTTCCAGGTTGACCTTTGAGGGGCAGCAGCAGCCCTGCATCCAGGTTGCCTTTGCAGGGGGGCAGCTGGTTCTCCACTGGGGAGACAGACTCCAGCCCCCAGCAACCTCAACAGGTGTGCCCGTCACTCAAAGTGTTAACAACTTGCTAATGTTGGTTCACAAAAGAGCTTTTCTTCCAACATGCTCTGCCCAATCTGTTCGTAGATATGGTGGAGCCTCTTCCTCGTCTTAAGCTGTTTTTAATTAATAATTTAAAGAATGCACAGATACTATTGGTAGTGCACCCACAATAGAATACATGTTTTGATGATTAAGATGGTGAAAAGTATCAATCTTCATCATACTACCTATATCTGTTCTAAATAGAGATAGTTTTGTAATCAGTTAATAGATAAAAGTAATACGCTAATTTAGAAGTGGAAAAAATATGGAAGAGATGCCTGTTACGAAACAGTACTGTGTCTTGTTGGCCAAAAGCAACAATAAGAGATCGAAGTACTTGCTTTGTGGCAGAAGCATGAAAAGGTGACTAAAAGTATTAGGAAATATTCCTGCCTCTTAAGGAAAGAGAAGAGTATTCAAGTACGTGTCAGTTTGTTCCATAATTTAATATTATAACTTCACCCTTTATAAAAGCTATTTCCTGAGTAAGTAATCTCTACAGTTTCTCTGCCTGTATATGTATTTTTGTTGTCTCTGCAGCCAACTTCTCCTTGCTCCAGTGGGCTTTTGTTATAAGTTTGAAGTTTAAAATATCTGCCTCACACAGACAAGGAACTCTAAAGAACAAAATATTCCTTCTGTTACGACTATGAATCATAGTGTTGTCCGTGAACTTTAGGATTAGGTACTTGATCAAACGTCATTGTTTCAGCAAGACCAACACCTACTGTCAAAGGAATGGCTGCAGTACTGCTGTCAGTCATGCAGTTACTTGTATTTGATGTCAAAGCAAAGGGTGTTGAACAAGAGTGAACTGGACTATGAAACAGCTGTCTCATGTAGATACAGTGTGGCCAGCTTTAACCTCACAAAGAGCTAGCTTGGGTGATAGCTGGAACTTTAATTTTTTGTTGTGTTCACTTGGAGAGGTCCCCTTGGATTAATATCTCTGGCGGCTGCTTCTGCAATTACTTTAGGCTTTTCCTTCCTTCTTTGCCATTTATGGTTAGATTCTGACCTTTTTAAGAGACCCTAGAACAGTGTATAGTATAAATCATTGTTTTTCTTCCCTACCTTTGCAAAGGTTTAATTACAGTTCTGTGAAAGTGTTAATTTAAAATTAAAGTTAACAAATTCAATGGCCACTGTAATTTTAAAAATATTTTTTAATTAAGGTTATCTAATTGCATCAATGAGTAAATGGAATGCCTCTTGATTCTCTATTAAGTACAGAGTTGATTTTGGGTTTTAAAATCATCCACTTAACTGCTTTTAGTTATGCTCACGATTTTCATTCATTGTAATTACTCTTAGAAATGTAAATTTTTTCAACTTCTCTTTTCTTTCTCCCTAGCTGGGTTGAAAACTTTGGCCGAGAAGGTCTGGGACTACTGTTGGATGTTTTGGAAAGATTGGTTGACACAAAAAAGTAAGGATGATTTCATATAAAATGGCCAGCTTTTCTTAATGTGTAAACAGCATTTAATTACACTAATTTTTTTACTTTTCCAGCCAGGAAAAAGTTGTGAAGAGGTGTCAGCATAAGGTTGTACAGTGTTTGAGAGCCTTTATGAATAATAAGGTATGAGATTTTATTTAATATGGAAATCTGAATTACTACAGTTCAGTCAGATAATGTACATGATCAGTGGATGTAAGACTGCAATTTGAAGGAGCAGTGTGTTGGTCAGCTGTGGTTTGAAATTCTTTCTGCTGCCACTTCCTCCTGCGGAAATATACTCAGAGACTAGTGTAAACTTTTGAAGCTGATGTATACCCTTATTACAGAATAAGTGACCCATTTTGGACTTTTCTCTCAATTTTCAAGATTTCATTTGGAATATTTACTTGAGGGAACTGTCACTGTCTTTTACTGGATATTCAATACAGTCATTTGGATTCCCTCCAACCCTTCTTGCAACTGTTTTTCTGTTGTTTAGTACGGATTGGAAAGAATTTTGGGAGAAGAGAGAAGCCTTTTGTTGCTGATCAAAGCAATTGATCCTAAGCAGACTAACATGATGACAGATATAGTTAAACTCCTTTCTGCAATGTGCATTGTTGGAGAGGAAAACATGTAAGTACTGTATCTAGCCATAAATAGTAAGGTAATTTTAGGATATCCAAAATTATAACTATACCTGAAGGAAATGCTAAAGTTTTCAACTTAGGTTTGAAAGTAATACCTGTACTACATTGTCAGTTTTCAGAATACCTTTGTCTGTGATTGTTATTAAAAAACTCAGTAGAAGTTTTCTTTTTGACGTGTGGATGTACTGGTTAGATGCAAGAAGCCATTCTTTTTCTCGAAATCTTTGGCATTACTTTTAAGGTATCTTAACCATTGTAATCCAGTAAGTCATTCTTAGGCTACAAGTCTCCAAAGGAAACAAGTAATGCTTAAATATACTAAATTGGTACGCAAGAAATTGAATGAGGTGTATACTTGGGTGATGTGGCTATTCAGGTAACAAATGAACAGCAAGGTTAAATATTTCTCCTGAGTGAAATGCTTTTCTTTAATTACAGCCTTGAAAAAATTTTGGAAGCTATAACAGCAGCAGGAGAGGAAAGAAATGTTGATAGATTCTCTCCTATTGTAGAAGGTCTTCAGGATAACTCGGTTCAGCTGCAAGTAAGCAAATCATTTGCACAGATCTCTGCAACAAGCAGAAATAAATTAGTGATTTTTCTGTATTGAACAAGTCGTTACAGTAAAAGGGGGGACGGATACTGTTTCAAATAAGGGTAAAGTTTTTGGAATGTTGTTTATAATGTTATGTTTTAAAGTGTGTCATGGGAAGATTGAGTGTTGAGAAACATAGGGGTGTTGCTGTTTAATCTGTTGGACTTCTTTTTGTCCAAACCTTACAGACTTTGGGAGTTAAATTTGTACTACCTTTTAAAATAAAACGTGAGTCATATATTCAGAGCAAAAATATATCTCACTTTTGGCTGAAGCTTGAAGATTAATAATAGTAAAAGCCTAAGTTTTTTGGGCAACTGCTTTTTATAGTTCATGTTTAAATCAATATGAATTCTGTCCCTCACGTCCACTTCATGATTTTGTAAAATTGTGCCAAGAGAATCCAAGGAAATAAATCTTTCACTTTATTTTCAGTTTTCAGTCTGCTTCAGTTGGATGTAGAGTTTGCCACAGAAAGGGCCGAAGTATTATAGTGCATTTGAATTATCATTATAAATCTTTGGTCTAAGAGTGTAAATATTAACTCATATTAATTTTCATGTAGTTCAACTGAACTGAACACTCTTCCTAATTGTCATTCTTTGTGAATATTACAAAAATGGCAAAAGATGAATCCCAAGTTTTTAAGAAATGATTGTGTTACTACACTGTCACCTTTTGGATTAAATAGTTTGTGTCTACAGTAAAGATTGCTATTTGTTTCATCTGTATCGCAGAAAAGCTAACCATAAAGAAATAATTGAAGGTGGAAAATTTATAGTTTAATTATGCCAGTACTGATGGGATTCTTTTTTTGAAAACTTGTCCCTCCTTTCATACTCTTTATATCCTATAATCATAGAATGTTTTGGTTTGGAAGGGACCTTTAAAGATCATCTAGTTCCAGCCCTCCTACTACGAGGGGGGATTATTTCACTAGATCAGGTTACTCAAAGCCCTGTCTTACTGGACCTTGAACACTTGGAGGGATGGGGCATCCCCAGCTTCTCAGGATACAGTTGGCTCTCTGGGCTGCAAGCGCACATTGCTGGCTCATATCTAATTTTTCATCTATGAATATCCCCAAGTCCTTCTCTGAAGGGCTGTTCTCAATCCATTCATCATCGGTAACACCAAGGTTGTGGGCTCACATATATGCTGAGCATGATGTTTTATGGTGTAGAATATCCCTTTGGCCAGTTTGGGTCAGCTGTCTGGGCTATGTTTCCTACCAGCTTTGTGTAGAGAAAAAGCCAGGAGGGCAGAGGCAGTATGAGAAGCTGAAAAAGACCTTGGCTTAATGTAAGCATTGCCTGGCAACAACTAAAACATCAGTGTGTTATCAACACTGTTCTCAGCACAAATCCAAAAACATAGCCTCATGCTAGCTACTGTGAAGAAAATTAACACTATCCTAGCCAAAACCAGCACAATTACTTATTTACTGTTGTTATTTGTAGTTGCTGAATAAGTGCCTTTCTTACCCTTTTTGTGAGTCTCAATATTAATTAGTAGTATAACCTGTTGAATAAACAATTTATCTTTTTTATTCAGTATTGTGAAAATCACTACGAAAATATTTTCTAATGTGCATTCTAGAATACACATTCTAGGAGTGCTAAACTAAGGTCAACGGAAGATAATATAAAAGATGAAGGAGAGAGAAATTTACTATCCACCATGAACTCAGTTAAATTGTTACTTTGATTTGACAGAGAAATGATTGCCTTCTGTTTAGTTTGCATAGGTATCTCTGTGTTCTCTGTCCTGAGAAAGAGATCTGATAGCAAGGGTTTTTTTGTCTTTCCTTTAAATCTTGCTGTCATATTCATAGTGGGAATTAGTTGCTGTGATAGGACAAACTTTGAATTACTGCTCAGTTTTCTGTCAGTAGGAATGCATAGCCATGGTCTGATTTGCTGGATGAGGTGGTAACTGAGGGAAGGATGATCCTTTAATTTGAACCTTTTTTTTTTTTTTTTAATTCTGAAAATGTTTATCTCAGCATGGATTTATTACACTGAGTTAAAGTTTTGAATGAAAACCAAATAAAAGAATTTGTGGGTTTTCTAGTTCCTTCCTTTGCTTCAACCTTGAAGTTGTCTAAATGCCTGTATATGCGTATTGAAGTACATTACCAACAATGATAGTCAAAGTTGCTTAGGAACCTCAGACAGTCAACTTCAGAGTCAAGAAAGTTCTTCCCCCAGCAATAATTTTTATTGGATGGAAATGTAGCATATTTTGTTTGTTCTTATATTTCATTTGTTGTTTGTTTTTAAAAATTTTAAAAAATTATCAGGTTGATATTGGTTTCATATGCAAGATCTTGATTCTGTCTTGGTGTAGAAAGATTTGTCTTTTTTTCTCCACCCTGCGCCTCCCCAGATTTGTATGTTTTTCTAATGTATTGAAAAGCATAATAATTGTGTTTAAGGGTCAAAATTTAGACCTTATATTGGCAAGGCTGGAGTGGGGCTGGAAAGAGGCTGTAAGGAGAACTGTAATTTTTTTTTTCTTTTTTTTTTCCAGAAGTGGCTGGGGGGCTTTGTGTAAGGCTCAGCCTACAGTTAAGGTTAGCAAGGAGAGGGAGGAAAAGGTTTGAGCACCAATTGCAGTGGGACTGGAAAAGGACTGCAGAAGCAAAGTGTAGATTGTAAGCCAACAAATTTCTTGTTTTCCAAGGCTTTTGAGTCTGCATTTTCCAGATCGGACATACATTTCTTGTAGTAGCAGATCCTTACCTTAGGTATTTCTGCAAGAATCATTGCAGTTTTTCAGTATTAAATTTAAATATATGATCTCATATGTTTCTCTTCTCCTAGGGGGTCTCTGTTTCATTTGGATTTCAAGGCAAATGATATTAACAAGTTCCTATTCAGTATGATTCTTTTTTTCTCCATATTTTAGCATCCTTGAGATAGTTGACAGTATGAATTTGGGCCAGACGTGCAAGCTTGGGCTTGTCAGACTTTCAGGGCAATGTAACATCTGGCTCACTTGCATCTGGGCCTTTTTTTGTTTGCGTGTTCTTTATTCCTTTTTGACTTGCTTGTTTTACTTGCTTGATTTACTTTGATATCAGGTCACGACATAAGTGAAAACATTTTGTTATATTTTTGTTTTTCTGGTTGGTCAAGTAAGAAGTTTGATTTTATGTTATGCTTATTTCTATTGTCTTAGTATAATCAATAAGGTAAAAAGTAATATATATTAAGAAGAATTTATTAATAAATCTAATCAGTCAAAGAATTAAAAAAATCTAAATACAGGAGCTAGTTTTAATGTTAAATAATGGTAGTTCAGTGTCTTTCTATCGTGGTTGAGTGGCTTTCTTCTTTCTTTAGCATGAATATGGATATTAGTAACACTTTTAAAGATACTTTGATTCAGTAGGGAGAAATGCTTTAGATTGTGGAAATACTTTTCCAATATCAGGATATTGTATCTAACTTAAGAGAATTTCTGCTTTGAGAACTTCCAGGTCTATCAAAGCAGTCACATGAGATGCCTAAGTTTTAGTACTATGAAGAGCAGTACTTCTCTGACTATTCTTTACTAGCTTATAGGTATTCAGGGTCCTGAAATTAACAGCATTTTGTTTTGAGTTCTAAGCTTCCAAATTTGATCCTGAACTTTCAGGAGTTGTATATATTTGCACACGTGTAGATTTAACAAGGGAAAAAAGCTATCTATAACTCCCTTTTTCTTTACAGTTCAAAAAGCACATGAAAATTGCCATAAAAGCAACCCCTTTATTTGAAGCAGCAGGTAAATTAAATTAATCCTATGTACTTCTCCTTTTAACCATGATGGGTACCCAAGTGGGCATTTTGCCCATTTCCCCATTTTTAAAAATCAAAGACATTTATAAGGGCCTCTCTAAATCTATAAATAAGTCTTGCAGATTAAAATGAAGGTGAACATATAGTGTCTCTTTTGGATCAACATTTGGGAAAGGGCTTCAAAAATGATAATCCCTTCTAAACAGCTGTTGGTAAGCAGCCCCTTTAAGAAACAGGTAGATAACAATATTAAGGGCAGTTGATATTCAGTTGAAAAAAAGTCATGGCTGATTACCTATAAGCACTTAGGTCTTTCTTATAAACATGAGCACTTTCATACTCACTGTTTACAGTGATGCTCAACTCCATTAGTGAGATACCACTGATGAGATAACCCAATCAGTGCAGAAAGCTTCATCTGAGTTGTTAGCTGTGCAGTAGCAACTTTTATTTTTCTAGGACTACTCTTCAGATATTAATCAAGTACTTTTCTACTAGTTATGCCTTCTCATGATTGTGATATATCTCCATTTGGTATTTTGTTATCCTCTGATACCGAAGATAGCAGCTTTCGTAAAACTGAGAATTTACTCTAAGTGTTAAAATTGCAATACTTAAGCTAAATACATTAATTTTTCTTTACTAAGAGAGTTACCCTGAAGTTGCTGAAAAAAGGTAACATTTTACTGTTCCATTTGCTGTATCTTACGTAGACATGGAAACTTCTAGTGAAAGTTCTTATCTTTTTTTTTTTTTTTAATTAAACTTATCTTTGAATACGTTCTTTCTACTAAAAGGCTTTTTTCTTTTTCAGACTCCACAAATGGTTGCTAGATTTCTTTTTCTTTTTAAAGACCAGAAAAATCAAGGTTCCTCATGTGAATCAGTTATAAACTTTTCTAACAATGACATTGACCTGATGGTTAATTTGACAGTGATTTAATGAGATAAAAGTTTACAGTTGTCAGTTACTTGGCATACTTGCCTTGATTATCTGCTTGATAGATGTAGGCTTGCTTTGTGGCAGTTGAATTTGACACTAACAACTGACCTTTTCAGTTTTGAATTGACTAACATTCCTGTCGCTTGAAGGCTGAATATATAAAAAGCCTCAGTATGGCGATTTTTGTATTTCTATTGAAAGCTCTATGTATCTACTTTTTG